ATTACAAAGACTAACTAAAGTCTACTTTTAACTTGGTTGTCACAGGACAAGCATTAAATTAAGTAATAAGATTAGAGGCCAAAAGTTTCAATAACCTTCTTCATCCTCGCTTCTCCCATCCTCCCCAAAACATTTGAAGAAAAAAAAAAGGAAGAGCAAAACTGACTTAAAAGAGTTTCTCCTGCTTTCTTTAGCTTTCTACTAATTAGCTGTGCACATGTGAAAAACTTGTAATGGCCAGAGGAGAAGGGATGCAGTGACTGAATAATGTATAAACGAGATACTGTGAGGGCCTAATGAGCACCACTGACTCACTGATAAAAGCTATCCGTGTTGCAGTTTCCATTTTGCATGAACCTATTCTAAAAAAAAAGAGCAGAACTACTGAAAAAAAATAAACAGGTGAAGAAAGAAAAATGGAGCTACAGGGAGAACGAAGAGGAGAGAGAAAATGGAGAAAGGGAAGAACGAAGGAAGAGAAGAGGGAGAGAGGGAAGAGGAAAGGGAGGTACATAGAGAGGGAGAAATGGAGGAAGAGAAAAGGCTTTCATTTGGAGTCATAGAAGCCAAGAAAATCCAGCCAAACATGATGAAGTCTGACATGCTTAGTAAGGATTCCTATAAAAATCTAGAGAGTTGCCAGTTTGATAGTGAATTGTATTCTAAAGGTCATTTTTAAACTAAAAAATTTGAAACTATAACATTTTTCTATAGAAACATTTCACACCTGATGATTAGAGTAAAACTGAACTCCATGTCTCACTAGAAACCCTTAGCAACTCTGAGATCTAGGCCTGATGCTTCGGTGAACTTTCAGTATCACGAAGAAGCTAGTTTCAGCGGGTGGGAGCCTGGAGGAAGCCACTCTGGCCAGGGAGTTCCCAATCAGGTGAAAGGAAAGACTAAGTACCACTGAATTGGAAAGGAGGCAGCACTGGCTCAATGACAATTAAGTCCAAGGCTGGAATCTACAAGAGGATAAAGCCCAGATAGAAAAGAAATGACAACTGGGGGGCATGAGGGTGGGGAGGGGACAACACATATGTAATACTTTCAATAATAAAGAATTTTTTTAAAAAAAGAAAAAAACGAAGCCCAGGGATGGGATGGCCTTACTGGCAGAGGGTGTGGAGGGATCCACAGAGAAGACAGCTCTGCAGGAGGAAGGGGAGGCAGCAGGAAAGATGCACTTAGGGCAGCTGCCAGTTACAATAATGACAATCACAGACACGGAGTTCCTGAGGATACTAACCATTTATCAACCTCATGCAGGTTTGTGGGACTTTTGAGGGTAGAACTATAAAGTAGCACAATATGAAAAGTAAAAGAATTAAAATTATTTAATACCAGTTCTTCTAATACTCATTGTCCACTTCTGACGATAAAACCAAATATTTTACCCATTACTTAAAATTCTAGGATCCTAGAGAGACAACCTAAGAATTAAAAACTCATAATTATCAATGCAGTTTACAGATTGAAAATAATCAATTCCTATGACCTATCTGAACTTGAACTACACACATCTTTTAACATTGTTCTGGTACAAAACCTACACTTTATTCCTTGACCTTTTCGTCCCCCTACCAGTATCGTGTACTAGCCTTAGGTTTACTCCTTATCCAACCTATAACCCAACACACACAAAAAGCCAGTAAGGTCCTGCCTCCTATATTAAACTCAGGCCCCTGAGGATGCTATCCAGCGCTCTCTACACATCCCCAAGGCAAAGTACTGGCAGGATGCCTGGCCTACCAGAGAGCACCACCACTCCAGGAAAACAGCACTCCCACCCCCTTACATCCACTGCACAGGGTGGGGTGGCTTCTGCCAATACGGAAAAGCAGAGAGAGACTTTGGTTAAAAGAGCTAAGCATCCCAGGCCACAGTGTTAATGGGTAGATTTTGTCACGAATCTTGATTAAAAATAATGTCCTGGCTACTGCCTCTGACCATGGCCTGACCTTGGGCAGCCACTGTCTTGTGGACATCTTTTGACTTTCAGTTGTGAAATTGGCTAACGAACTATACACCTATATATCCCACTTTTCACTGCAGCTCAGTTCTGTACCTAAAACTTCCTGCCACCTCAGAGGCCATCCCTGGTGAGAAATGCCTGCCTACTGTCCTGCCCCTGCCACTTGTCTTCAGCCTCAGCAATCAATACTCCTGCCCTGAGGTACGGGAGAGCCAGTTGTAGTGAACAGAGTGAATGCATTTGAAGATTTATCCAGAAAAGGAATGGTATGAATTTATTCTAACATGACAGATGGTTTTATTCCTATCATTTCTAATAAAATACAGGCTTAAATGAAAAAATGTTCAACTCTTTCCTTATTGACAGTTCAAACAAAACTCAATACAACTTAGTTCCATTATAGCAAGAGAAAAAATAGAGTTTGTTCTAATAGAGATGCACCTTTAAGTGCAAGTTTAATTTACATGTATATTTCACAGATGACGACGCATTTTAAAAGTAAGAGATTACTTGGCAAATTTAGGCACATGGTCACAACTATAAAATATTTAGGAAATAAACAACTTGCAGACAGTAAAAGCAAATCAATACTATTGCTAAAATAATGAAAAATCATTCATATTTTTCAAAAATAGGTACTTAAGGGAATTGCCATTCTTAGTTCCGATGAAATAATTATAACATCTGAGTGAATTTCTCCCCCAAATATTATATATACTTCAGATTGGGGGGTTTTCTATCTGCTGTAGAGAGGTTTAACTGTAACTCAATATATAATTAAAATATCCCTCCAGTACTCTTTCACCACGGCACCTCAGTGACCTGCTGCCATTTCCTCGGTTAAACCTGACTAATGGAGGTAAGCCTAGCCAATACCACCCCAGGGGAGATATGACTTCCAGGAGCATGTCCCATTCGTTTCTGCTCCTAACTCAAATGGCACAGAACTTGGAAGGGAACAGACACACTCTAATTGTTTATTGAATGAGAAAATAAATTAGAAAAAGATAGGAAGGCATTCAACATGTAATGCTGTTAGATTTATTATATGAATATACATTCTATCATTTTATTAGTAAGAAAGTTAGCAGGAAGAACAAAAGACCCATACCAATGCATTTCCAATGCATCATTCCTTTGAGTCAATGAAACCCTCATGAAAGATTCACAAAGTACAGCCAAAAGAAGTTCATCTCCCAAGTTATGCCTCCCCCACTGAAAGCATGAAGACAAGCTTGTCTCAGCACTTCCAAGAAAGGTCATGCTGTTGTATTCCTATTATGACATGATGTAAGGAAGAAAAGCAAAATGGTTTATTAGTTCATTCCCCAAGAGAATTATTCTGGCATTGGAGTAAGAAACAAGAGATGAGGGCCTAAGCAGTGCAGAATAAGGAGAAGGTGGATAGGGACAGAAGTTAGAAATAATTCACTTTATATTTTAAATGATTCACTTTTATAGGGTCATGCTAATAAGTCAGACTGACACTATAACAATCAATCAGGCAACCATGATGCAAGAGAAGCTACATCCAGAATTATGGGTAAAAACTTACCACCTAGAAGGCAAATTATTTTTTAAAGGAATCCAGAGGAGGAAGAGAAGAGAAACACATTATCATAGAGTTAGTTCTTATGATTACTACTATACATTCAACAGACTTGTAACAACAGGCATTATAAATAAGGATTAAAGACTCTAATACACAAAACCTAAATAACAGACAATTTAAAGTATATAGAATACATTTATGAAAACAAAACTAAGAACTAATAATCACCAAAAACATGATTTTAAAGATACTATAGAGAGATTTACTTGTATTTATAATTTTCTCCCTCTTATATGTAATTCTGCCACTTCAACCAACTGTTAATTATGCATGATTGGCATAACTCCAGATATTAAAATGTCCATTTAAGTAAACTATCTCTTATGTCGTAGTTGCCAAAAAGAAGTGTGATGCTCATTTAATCTCCTTTCAATTACTCACAAGTGGTCTGAAGGCAAAACCAGAGCAAATCAAGAGCTGTGGTTCTGAACCCAGAATGCCCATGGCTTGTTTGGACATCAAGCATCTGAGTTATCTGAGTAAATAATAAACCTCACACCTTTACTTATGTCTATTTCAAATTATTGCAATTAATAAGTCACATGTTTATTTGAAAGTATTATCAAAGTAATCAGCTTTTAATAGAAACAAATCCCCCCAAATCTAGCAACTTCCATAGAAGTTCTATTAAATCCGGTTATTGAATTCTTTTTTTTTTTTTTTTTTTTTTGCTTCATTATACTTCTCAGTCAACAGACACTAAATACACAATATTGATATGTGGATGAGACCTCAAAATATCCAAGATGAAAGTTTCCCCATTCTGGTATCAGTGTTACATGGGGACAGCCTTCTCAAAACTGTCTCCTTTGGCTGAAAGTAAGAGTGAGAAGCTGAGTGGGAGGAAAGGAAAGGGAAAGAGTTGCAACTGTTATATTATATGGTGGGCAGAGGAGAAAGCACAGAACACCTGCTTCTCTGGTAACAGAAAAACAAGGTCAGCACAGTCCCCTGATTGGTCATTCCTATAACTAGTTGGATGAATATTAGATTAAGATACTTAGTTCAAGGCTTGAATTGTTGGAATCCCAGCAATTTCATATTACGCTCTATTACCCAAGAATGTCCCCTGAAAGTATGTGCACTTTTGGTCTACTCTGCACACCTGCTACATATGTCTACAAGTCACTAGCTATTCTAAATCCACCTCCTGGAAACTACAAAAGGAATTCCTAGCAGTATTGTGAGATTTGTGAGGATAGTGTTAAAATTATGATTCTATCACTTTATCTCTTTACTTTTCTATGCTAGCATGTGAAATAGTTATTTCTTTTTCCAAAGATTTATGTTTACTTACCTGCCATGAAGAGAATGGGAGAAAGGGAGGCAGAGAATAAACGTGTATGAAGGTAAAAGCACAGATTGGGGCATTTTGGATTTCTGTAAGACAGTTCACAACCATACACTTACATGGCCATGGAGATCTGTGTTAAGAAGCATCATTGCACAGGTGAGACAATGGACGCCGTCTAAGGGAAGAGACAAGGACAGAAAGCATTAATTCACTATTTCCTAGACTCCTATTCTCATTAAAATAGCATATATTAAGAACACAATATATATGAAAGCACAATACTGTAGTTAGGCACAAGTAATCATATTTGCTTGGGGAGACAGAAATCAGGTAAGAATAAATCATTAAAAAGACCTCAGTGCAGAGAGTTGGACTCTCCTGGATAAAGTAAATTATTCCTACCTTTCAGGAGGACAATTTGATAGTACATATCTTTAAGCTTTGAAACAATGTCCTTTGACACAGCAAACTTACTTCTGGGCTTTACATTAAGGAAATAAAAAATCTACACAACATACAAGGATATTCAAAGAAACACTAATTATAATAGGGAGCAAGTAAATATGACACTCCAAAAACATATTTCTGTTATGTTTAAGTAATTTAAAATCTTGTCCAAGTATATATGTTGAAGTGGAAAGATATTTCACAATAAATTAAAATATGAAAAACACATTATATGTAGTATAACTCCATTTAAATATAAATACATCTGGAATAATATATAAGGTGATATTAAAAGAGATTATCATCTCTGGAAAGTGAGATAATTTTTTTATTTATATCTTCTCAATTTTAACAACAGATATGAAAATAAATAGTTTAGTACTGTTCTTTTTTTTTTTTTAACTTTCTGGGAGGAAAGTGAATTAGGAAAGAAGCAAAAGTTAAAGAAAGCCACGATTTGAATCTTCCTCAGTTTACTGTTGGGTATTACTCCTCTGGCTAACTATATAATTAGGAATCGTTATCTTCTTTCTTGCCATTCTTTAAAGAAAACATATAGTTTGGATGGTCCAAGATACTATGAATCAGACAAAAGCAAAATACTAAAATAATCTGTGAAAATTTTAAATTTAAATATTCAGGGGAAAAAGTTGCCCAGGCCGGAAAAATTTCACACTTCTATAGAAGCATTACTTTTCTTACTTTATACAAAAAAAAGAAAAAGCACTGAGTTTAGCTTCTCATTTCCAAGTCTTCTTCTTCTCTCTCTGTAATTCTCAACCAAGTACAGTAAGACAGCGTATTTTTCCAAAGCACGCCTTTAAGTATAGTAGGAGATTTGTTATTAAAGTCTCTACTAGTACGTAGATGCTACTAAGTACCTAAAGGAATGCTTATTCCAGTCTCATTTTATTATCACAAATTCTAAATACATTTAAAACCAATTCCTGAAAGTATCTGTTAAACTCAGTTGATAAATATCCTATCAACAGGCAAGTGAATGCACAAATCCATCTTCCTATTGTACTCAGGAATGTCATGTTAACATCTTAGTATTAGAAGAAGGTTCTAATAAAAACAACCCTTTCCTCTTCTATCCCTGGCATTCTCAACTCAATGCTGACAGTGATAGAGACAGTGAATAAATTATCTAAATATAGTCAAAGAAAGAAAGAAAGAAAGATGTTTCCATTTCAGAGATAGGAATGTGACTTCATTTTATCAAAATGTGTTTTTATTGATTTTAGAGAAAGAGGGAGGGAGGGAGGGAGGGAAGGGGGGAAGGAGGGAAGGAGGGAGGGAAGGAGGGAGGGAGGGAGAGAGAGAGAGAGAGAGAGAGAGAGAGAGAGAAAACATGCAACCTGGGCATGTGCCCTGACCAGGAAGCAAACTGGTGACCTTTTGGGACACAGGAGGACACTCAACCAACTGAGCCACGCCTGCCAGGTTAACAAAAGCCAGGATTTGCATCTTCCACAGCATCTTTACTATTTGGGTACTAGTTCTCTGGCTAACAATATATAGACAGGAATGAATAGTTATCTTCTTTTTTGCCATTCTTTAAACCAGTGGTTCTCAACCTTCTGGCCCTTTAAATACAGTTCCCCATGTTGTGACCCAACCATAAAATTATATTCGTTGCTACTTCATAACTGTAATGTTGCTACTGTTATGAATCGTAATGTAAATATCTGATATGCAGGATGGTCTTAGGCGACCCCTGTGAAAGAGACGTTTGACCGCCAAAGGGGTCGCGGCCCACAGGTTGAGAACCGCTGCTTTAAACAAACCATTTAGGTTGAATGGTCCAAGATACTATGAATCAGACAAAATCAGGAATGTGACTTTAATAATCAGATAGTTGTTTAGTTATATTCCGAAGGATTGGGAGTGGGGCAAACAATTACTTTATTCAATATCAAATACACTTATCTTTAACTAATTGGTAATACTGAAGCTGAGAGATAATTACCATTTCTAGTGCATCTACTCTCAGTCATTTAGTCCAGAATGTATAACCCTATGGAGGATTCTCCAATGGCAAATAAATGCACTTGAGTTCAAGCCCTGAACACTTTGCTATATTGTAGGAATTGAAATGGAGGAAAGACCACTCTTCATAAGGTACATCAAAAGCTAAAGTTGCTTTTTAAAAATAACACAATAAACATAAAGTCAGTGGTCAGTGTTGTTTTGATTACTTTCAAACAAAAGCACCAGAGACACACCATAAACTCGTGAGATTTGTAAATGTTTCCAAAACTAAGCACACATGCACCTCATCAAGAAATTAGAGATCAGAAGCTAAGGAAGAAGAAATATGAAAACTGGAATTTCATTTATTACAATCCATTTTGCACATAAAATCTCAGTGACAAGCATAAGCAATTTAAAAAATATTGTCACACTCTGGAACTAGAAAATAGAGAAAAATAACTGAGAGTAAAGAAATCATGCATCAATAAATATCATGCTTTTTAAAGAATATTTGATGACATGAGAAAATGCTCACAATGAAAGAGAACACCAGTAGGAAACAACTCCCTAGTGATTCTGACTTGACATTAAATAAATATTGTACAAATAGACTAGAAAGAAGTAAACCTGACTGTTTATAATATTATCCTTAGAAAGAAATATTTAGATGATTTTCATTTCTTTGGTATAATTTTCCACAATCAAATGTAACTTTTATAATGAGAAAAATAATCCTTATTATAAAAAAATAAATCCAAGCATTTCCATCAGATTACCTTGTGAAGCAATGGTGTCCGGGTTACAATAAAAATACCTATTGGAGAAGTGTATTAAAACTCTCTCTCGTTCTTGAGTTTCTCCCACAAGAGAAAAGGCTTTAAAGAAATACCTAAAAAAGAGTGAGAGGGAGGGGGAGATGAAATTTTAGAAAACATTACCACACTCTTTATGTTTGACATTTAAAGTTAATTCATATAAGCATTAGAAATTACACAAATTAAGATATGCTGCAGTTATTTTTTTTAAATCACTTAATAGATGGCCATTCAGTATAAATTCATACTGACATTTCAATGCTCTTAAATGGCAATGTAAAAGATGACAGGACAATAACATGGTGGCCAATACATCAAAAAAAAAAGCCTTGGAAAGGCAGGTAGTTTCCTCATATGACTAAGGTAGCCATTTAAAAAGATCAGTTGAGTAAAAACCAAAGAATACTTAAGACTAAATGCAAAACCATGTAGGCTGTTTTAAAACTCTACATGAATCACATTTTTTTTTGCCATTTGTTACATGACTATAATTGCCACTGACACACTGCTAAAATTACAATTATATTGTCGTGCGCATAATAGATTTCTGTTAATTTTACTTCGCCTATTATCACCACATAAATAAATTGTTACATGAGGAGGAAATTGAAAGATAAAACTCTATTTCCTAAGTTAGGAATAAATTAATTTGTGTATAAAACTTCTTTGAACAACAGAAAATATTCCCAGAACCACACACACAGCCCAAATCAGAGTCACTGAGAGTACTGTCTATATATATAAAAGCCTAAGTGTCCATCCAACCATCAAGCTGGTCGCTATGACATGCACTGACCACCAGGAGGCAGACGCTCAATGCAGGAGCTGCCATGAAGTGCACTGGCCATTTAAAAAGAAATGGCACCACGGACTTGGCACTGACAAACCAACACTCGGCTTCCCCCAAGTGGGACACAGGCCCCACCACCCTAGAGCGACACCCCACCAAATCGCAGCCAATGCTACCAAGACCCCATGGCACAAAATGCGGCCCACAGCCCAGCCCAGCCCAGCCTGGAAACGGTCACTGTAGGCACCGAGTAATGACGTCAAGTAGTGCCGGGAGCCGGTCCATGCTTGCTGTTTCAAGGGACCTGGCATATATGGCATACTGTTCTTAATATGTTTGCTCACCTTCTTGGCACTATGTGTTTTAACCAAGGTCTCTGAGAAAGGTTGTTTCCCCAGGTAGGGATTTTCCCCTGAAGTTAGGGAGGGAATAAAACCTCTTAACTAAGTGCCAGGTGGGTAATTAATCACTTTAACTATGAACAATCATGCTTAAGCTACATAATCTTTACTCCCTGGAATGGAGATAAGAAACGCCCTAACCTTTGTAATAGAGATTGATAGGATTGAATCAACTGGTATAAATACAGATGTAACAAGACAGCAACACACAGAACTTAGAACACAGAACCTACACACAGAACCTACACAGAACCTAGAGACAGAAGAACTTCGCTGGAGAGAACATGGCAAAAGATCCTGGACAGAAACTGGCCTCAGAACCTAGACACAGAACCTAGAGATAGAACATGGCAAAAGATCCTGGACAGAAACTGGCAACAGAACCTAGAGACAGAACCTAGCGAGAGAACCTGGCTGAAGAACCTAGAGACAGAACCTGGCTACAGAACCTGGATAGAATATGGCAAGAGAACCTGACTAGAACCTGGTGACTGAACCTGGCTGGAGAACCTGGACAGAACCTGGCTGGAGAACCTAGCGAGGGAACATGGCTACAGAACCTGGCTGGAGAATCTGGAGAACCTAGCAAGAGAACATGGACACAGAACCTGGCTGGAGATCCAAAGCAGAACCTCTCTGGAGATCCAGACCAGAACTTGGCTGGAGATCCTGGCTGGAGATCCTGGCTAGGCTGCTGATCAACTGAACACTGTCTCCGTGTCCTTCCTTCTTCGCCGACTCCGTCTACACCTCTGGGGACCCCTGGACCTGCTGGGGTTGGACCCCAGCAAAGTAGCAACGCCCAGCTTCCTCTCCCTAGTGACCAGCATCCTTGCAGTTTCTTCAGCCCAGGAACATGACTTGCTTTATAGCCAGGTGCAAACATTTACAGTTTAATCAAATGTCTGTGAAGCATTTTCCCGTGCCTCATCTCATTTGATCCTCACAGAAGTCCTAGAGTAGGTAGGTAGGAGACTCGGTAGAATCCTATGTTCTTTTCATTAGCAAGAGGCAAATAGTGATATTAAAATATTTCTTCTAATTAATTTCCTTTCAATGTACCTGAATCTGTGCATCGGGACACTAGTTATAGAAAAAACCAGATGTCCCTCACTTGACAAAGTAGATGCATTCCCATGAGATGGGAAAGAAAAAAATCATTTAAAATGCTCTAAGAAATATTATTATTGAAAGAAACATATAATAAAACTTATTTCTATGATGAAAATGTTGCTCTTTATAGTCTGCTAATCTAAATTATACTGATAAAACTTTATTTTTTTCTAACTTTTAAAAAATAAATCACATAAAAAAGCAAAGCAAAACAAAAATATAGATCTCTCCTCCACCCTTACCTGTTTTCACTGCAAAACCTATGAATACCCTTGATTCATGCAGAGCCACAGAAGAAGTCTCTGTGTGCTTTATAATCCAAACAGTCCTCCTTCACCCACCAGGTCTCAGTTTCCTGCTTTGTAAAACTAGCAGGTTACACACATGATCTCAGAAGTCCTCCAGGCTCTGACATGTTATAAACTTCGTAAGATTAGATGCTGACTGGGTTCTACCTCCAGCTGCTGTCAGAAATTTACAGTACAATATGGTGTGGAAAATGAGGGTCAGATTGTGTAAGTCATCTTCATATGAACACATGAGCAAAAAGTGTTACTGCCTGACACACTTTTACAGATACTTTCTGCTGATTATGCTGATATTCATTTTTATTCCATTCATGAGTTAACTCCAAAGTGCTGTCTTAAAAGGTTAACTGGTATTGTAAACAAATGCTTAGGAAAAATATCTAAAATTCTACAGTCTATGTAAACTGCAATTTAAAAAACTGATCACATGAAAACCAAATACCCACAGATTCCATTTCTCCTTATGACTTATGCTGCCACCATTCTTTACTATGTCACCTACTAGATGCCGAATATGAGTTCATGTAATTTCATAAAAACAATGTTTTCTCATTTTCTGATACATTTAATATTTATAATGCAATCTGAACTAAATTCACAAAGTAACTGTGGGTTTAAAAAAATAAACATCAGTGAGGCCAGCACGACTCAGTGGTTGCGCATCGACCTATGAACTAGAAGGTCATGGTTCGATTCCAGGTCAAGGCACATGCCCGGGGTTGTGGGCTCGATCCCCAGTATGGGGCACACAAGAAGCAGCCAATGATCTCTCATCATTAATTTTTATAGCTCTGTCTCCACCTCTCTTCTCTGAAATAAATTTTTTTAAAAATCTAAACAAATAAAAATCAGATTTTAGCTTCAGCACATTACTTTCTCTTCTTAGGAGAAATTTTTTGGAGGCAAAAAGAATAGAAATTTAATCTTACCTGAGAGACTGATCCAGCGTCATTCCTGTAAAATCAAAAAACTTCAGATATTCTTCTGCAACTAGTCTGCTAAATTCATTGCTACAAGAAAGCAAAATAGATTTGGTTATTAATATAAAAGCAAGTGCACACACACACACACACACACACACACACGGCCTTGGGACAGAACGTACTTCTTGCCTAGGTGCTTTGCGACATCGGACCTTTTGAATCTGTCTAGTTGATAAAGGCGTTTGGCCAACCTCTTGGCTGCTTCTACGTTGCTGCTAGTGCCATTACTGAGACTTTCTGAGGGCTCCCTTTCCAGAATTTCCGTGTTCCCCATTTCAGCACGAGCCTCCTCCAGCAGTCCTGTTTTCACCCCAGCATGGCTGCGAGAACTGAAAAAGAAGGAAAAAGAAGTCAAAATTTTTCTTGCATGGCAAAAAAAGGAAAATAGCTGAAAAAATTATGATACTGTACAACCAACTAAATGAAAAAACTATTTTAAATGAGATTGTTTTATGCTTAACCATTTGTACGCCATAGGCATCTATAGACACAAACAGTGGACCTTTTTAAATTAAATTCAAAGTTTCATGGCAGTTAACTGGCTAATTATTCATAAAATATTGTCAGTTACTATTTCAATGCACTAAAGAAGTGACTGCTTAAATCCTGGATAAGCAGTTCTCAAACCTTTTGTTCTCAGGACCTTTTCATTTTTAAAAGTATGGAGGACTCCAAAGACCTCTGTTTATGTGAGTTATCTCTATTGATATCCACTATATTAGTAATTAAAATAGAACATTTTCAAATATTAATTCATTTAAAAATCCATATCATGAAAATAAACAATATATTCTTATTAAAGATAACTATATTTTCCAAAACAACAAAGTTTAGTGAGACACACAACCGTAATTCACATTTTTTACACATTTCTTTAATGGCTGGCTTACTAGAAGACAGCTGCATCCTCATGGCCATTTTGACATTCAAGCTGCATTAATGTATTGATTTGATTGAAATAGATTAAGAAAAAACAGCGTCACACAGATATTTAATTACTCTTAATATCCTTTTCAGACCATTGTAGATATTATTTTCTGATATGACACCCAAATAAGACAGTGGTAAGTTCTTAAAGGTTAGTTGCAATATAGAATCTAAACTGTATCAATGAATGTTTTGTAGGAATATTAAAATCTATCTTACATTTTGAATGGATCTTTTACCAGAAATGATTCTGCAACATACAATGGTCATTTGCAAAATATCTGTTGACATATTTCATTATGAAATATGAAGAAAAATCACATTCATTAATGTCACCGCTAATAATACCTTCAAAAAGTCTAAGTATTGGGAAGTTGTCGAATTTTTGGTATGAATCTGTTTTCTAAACTTCTAATTTTTTGATGGGAAGCCCACATTTTATCATTGGCAATAAAAATTGTCAGTTGTTTTCCTTAAAGTGATAGACACACTCTATATATATGCAAGAAAATGTTTGCCAATAACCTAGTTTCCAGTCATACTTTGAAGGAAAAATGGCATTCCATGAAAAAAGGGAGTAGTTTACAGATCACGACTCTAATTATGTCCAAGTGCTTTTCCTGGAGATGGCCATCGGGAGCAGAAGTGTTTTATGCATATTTTCCATTTCATCCCATGAGAAATGAAAAAGGCATGTAGTCAAGGATTGAAATGTAATTAATGTGTACTGCTTAATCAAGGACATTTTTAGGTGAAACTGGCCTGTTTTTATTTCAAGTGCATGGTACTAAACTGCAATATAGCAATTAGAACAGTTTGGTGCTACTCCCTTGATTAGTGCTAAGACACTCCCTCCCACTGCTTTTGTACCATCAATGCAAATATCAACATAGTGAAACAGGAAAATAATGCTGTACTGTTGTTACAAAATAACTTTGATCTCACAAAGCAACTGAAAGGGTCTTGGGAAGCCCCACAGACCATACTGTGAAACTTCTGTTCTAGAAAGGAAGTGGCTGGCTGTAGAATGCTACATCACACAGACACAAAAACCAAAGAACTTATATGCATGTATGCATAACCCATCAACACAGACAATAGTGCAGTGAAGACCTGGGAAGGGGGCGGGAGTGGAGTGGAAGGGGTTAATAGAAAACAAGGGGATGTCTGTAATACTTTCAATAAAGATAAATTTTAAAATATGTATTTTATAAAAAAAATAAAAGAACACAAAAGGAAATTACCCATCATTTTTTTCTGAGTAATGAAAATAAATGGGTGATTTTGTTAAAAAAATAAAACCAATGAGAACACAGTAATTTCCAAATCTTCATTTTAACTTGGTAATAAAACAAAGCTATCTCATGATGAACTCCTGTGTGTAAGTAGCCTTCCAACACATTTACAACAGACTCTAGAGTCTAGACAGTCAGAATGTTTCTGTAATGGACCAGAGAGTACATATTTTGGACTTGTAGGCCACCTAAGGCCCCTACCACACGATTCTTTCTTTCTGTTGTTTTTTTACAACTTTTAAGAACTTAAGAGCCATTTCAGGCAAGGCTAAATGAGGTCCATAGAGTAGTTTGGGTGTCCTTGCCCTATCCCATACTTCTTTAGCTTGGTCTGAATCGTACTAGGAAGTATAGTAACCATTTATTGTCTAAAACAGGATACTCTGAAGAGGGAACAGGGATGACCAATCATTCAAAATGTAACTGTAATTATTACAAGTAAAATAAGCATTACCAATAGAAAGAAATTCATTGTAAATTTACATAATGAAATACAAAAATCACGTTCGCAAAGATGAATATTTTAAAAACTGCTCAAATTCTATTTTGTCACCTATTCTATCAAAATTATAATTTCCCGTTTTCCACTAATCCACCAACTAAGTGTTAGCCTAACAGCTTCACTAGCACTGAAATGTAGTTGGGCTACTGTACAACCAGCTGATACACCAAGTAGCTCCTAGGGGCAAAGTCCCTGAGTTCCCTTAACCCTGCCAGACCTGAGGGAGTTAACTGTCCCTAGCAGCCCCTCCCCAAGCTCACTTTCCAAGCTACTTGCTGTCCTGAAGGGGACTATCAGGAAGGAAAAAAAAGGAAGGTTATTCCACACTGTCTTTGAGACTCAATCAACCACAGGAAAATTCTGTTCTATGCACATGCCAATCACACCTTCCAGAAGAGACTTCGGAGAAGCTGGAAATACAAGGTGGGGGGTTATCAAACCCATGCTGACTTATTTCACTGCAACTATTCATGGTATTACTTCATTTTCTTAAATTCCAAGTCAAATGTGAATATGTAGTCAATTCCAGGACAACAGACACAAACTAGAGCTGATCCAGGAGAACCAGGATGCCCAGTAACCACCTTAAATAAGTTTCCAGCAGAAATACCTACAAATGACAATAAATTGCTTCATCATGGTGAAACCTTCATGTAAATACATTTAAATATTTTTTCATTCTAAACCTTCCTCTAGAGCAGCAGTTCTCAACCTGTGGGTCGCGATCCCTTTGGTGGTCGAACGACCCTTTCACAGGGGTCGCCTAAGACCATCCTGCATATCAGATATTTACATTAGGATTCATAACAGTAGCAACATTACAGTTATGAAGTAGCAACGAAAATAATTTTATGGTTGGGTCACAAGATACAGTTCCTCAATTTAAAGGAACTGTATTTAAAGGGCCAGAAGGTTGAGAACCACTGCTCTAGAGAGTTGACATTACCCAGCCAGTTTTGTGAAATTTATCATATCGGAAAATGAATATTTAATTATTACATATGGCAAACCTATAAAAAATAAACTCATAGAAGAAATTTCTTTTAAATACAACTTTGTGTTTTCTCACATAAGTGGTGAAATGTAAAATATTTATTCCAAGAATGATTTTAGTTAAAATCAAGTAATTTTTATAAGTAAAAAAAAATATCCCTGGAGTTGTGTTCCCATGCCTTCTCTTACTTTATATATTAACTATCATGTTGCAGGAAAATGTCAAAGAAAGAATTTTCTTCTCAGTTAAACTGATATTTATTGTTCACTTCTCAGGGTATATACTTAATCACTCCAGGCAAACATGTAGTTTATACATCGTACTGCAAAGATTTTGTTTAAATACAAGATACTTATCCTAATGAGCATATTTTTTTAATGTAGTAGCCAAAATTATTCCTATTGTTCATGTTTCTCATTCCTCACATTTGCCTCCTCTTTCTACTAGCTTTCCCAGCCAGTCTATTTCTCATTTTCCTCACATTCACCAGAAGGTAATATTAAAATCTGTAGGCATCAGATTTCTCTGGATTTTAGTAAAAAAAGAAAATTAAGAATAAAGTGAGGTTAAATACCTCCATTCCTAGATGGCTTCATTCTGTCCCATTTCACAATTTACCAGATTATTTGAATGAGAAGAGAGATTGCTCCTTTTAAATCAGAATGTATGTGAAAAGATGGCAAGACAAACTCACCAGCAATAAGATAGACACCAAGAGAAGCTCATCATGGAGCCCAGGGTGCGCATGGGCCATACTTCCTCTTCTCAGCCCCTTCCCAGTATCCATTCGCCCACAACTCCAGAGTCTGCTGGTCTTCTAGGGATTCCAAAGAACTGGCTCCCTGTGAGGTCACATTACTATGACCTCACATTCTTAGCAGAGTGTTTATTGTTGGGCCTTTTGTAATGCTTTCAGAGCCTCAATAAAAACAGGAGCCAGAACACAGGGGCCACTGTATATGAAGAACATAAACAACAATGGCAGCCTGGCCTTGTTCACATTTGATCAAGCAGCGTGATGGTCCCTCTCCGAGAGAATGACACCCATTTTGTTTCCTGGAATACACAAGACACTGTCCATCTAGTCTGTTGAATATCAGATGCTTTTCAATTTCCCCTTTTCTATAGTTCCATTTTTCTTCTTAATAATCTCATAAGGTGAAATCCCAACCAGTGACCTAAATGTAGAAAACATTTCCCAAAAGATTCTCCCTGTGTTCTATCGAACGCTTGTATCTCACACCTCCAAGCAAACATGGTAACACTATAAAAAAAAATCAGATCATTGAGTCTGACCATCAAGCCTTTTCATGACCTTTTATTTTTTCATTTTTATCATACTAGGATTACCAGATTTTTCAAATAAAAATAATAGGACACCCACCTAGATCTGAATTTCAGATAAAAAAATAATTTTCAGGATATTTCAAATATTGTATGGGCATTCTGAACACTAAAATATTATTCCTTGTTTATCTAGAAATTCAGATTTAACTGGACTCTATCTCCTGAAATGTTTGCTCTCCTCGGCTTTATTTGAAGAATTCCAATAATGGTGTTCTCTGACTGTGAATTGGCAGTGCTTTTCACAACCACACTACCTCTCCCAGG